CCCTGCCTCCCTGCCTGCGCGCACGCATGCGTGTCTACCTGCCTCCCTGCCTGCGTGCACGCATGCGTGTCTACCTGCCTCCCTGCCTGCGTGCACGCATGCGTGTCTACCTGCCTCCCTGCCTGCGTGCATGCCTGCGTGTCTACCTGCCTCCCTGTCTACCTGCCTGACTGAAATAGAAGAGCTCGTGTACATTCGTGTGCTTCTTTTCTCGCACCACTAATCCAACAGGCGCGACAACACGTCTAACACGCGCCCGTCACGGACAACTATCATTTTCCGCAACTGTGCGTGTGCGATACATGGACAGACAGACGCTAAGGTCACCCTCTCAAGCTAAGGTCACCCTCTCCTCAGCAGAGCCGACAGCTGCATAGCACTCGTACAGTGATTCTACACGGTGATATCTTATTCTCTCTCTCTCACACACACACTCATCTCATCTCTCTCGCTCTCTCTCTCTCTCTCTCTCTCTCTCTCTCTCGCGTTTTCAGTCAGGTTGCAATTAAACGTAGACGGATCGCTGTCTGAATTCGGAGAAAGATTTCGTAACGAAACTCTGGCGTCCTTCGACGCTCGGGAACATATATGATCTGCTTTAGCAAACATGACAGCATAGCGCAACTCACGTGAGAAGCCAACACGCACTCACTGTGACGTGCAGCGCAGTGGGGGGGGGGGAGGCAGAAAACTCACCATGTCCATCCGTGAATCATGAATATATTTCTGTATTCATGCGATTATTCCTATATCGATGCAAGTAGTAGAAAATGGATGAGTATTATCGACCGCATTAAGAAGTGGCAGCCGCCACTGCATATTATCAGAAAACATTTTCTGTCACGCCTCTCCTCTCACCAGCGGATCAGAAACGTTTGCTGACGCTACGTGCTAGAATCAGCACTTTCCATGGATGCACGCATGTGTGCGTGTATATGTGCGTGCGTGTGTGCGCGCATACGTGCGCACGTGCTTGTGGGCATCCACGTATGTACGTGTGTGTGTGCGCTCGTGCGTGCATAAGGGTGTATGTACCGATTTACAGGTTTAAACTAAAATATCAGTTCTACTATTACCCGTCCAATATTTGTGCACACGTGTGTGCATAGTATATAGTGTATAGTGACAAAAATTAACGAATATATCAGCAATTACAATCCCAATTGTAATATTCAACAATATGTCTTGGTAACATGATAAAAGAATGTGTTTTTCCAAACAGCTCCTCTTTCCGTCTATTTTCGTTTTGCTCTATATAGTATATAGTCTGCTCAAGTGAATGCATGGCTGCCTCTCTGCACGCATGCTTGTATTTATACCTATCCACGTGCATGTCTTCATGTCTGCCTGCCTGCGTGCATGCTTGTGGGTCTACGTACCTGCACGTATCTTTTATGTGCATCTTTGTGCAACCTTGTACGTATACATGATATCAGTGCACCAATATTACATTATAAGTTATTACACTTAAAGGCTCACAATGCGCATCCAAACGCTAATTTCTCCAGTACTAGACTAGCAAATACTTCGTGGCATGCATAATCACACTACCTTATGACAAAATAAACTCTAGTTCCTCCCATTTCACTGCGCGTTGTCTTATAAAAGGTATATTAGAAGAATACCTCAAGTTAGGTTCAAATTCTGCCGATCTGTTGGACAAGTTTCCCCAATCCCACAACGCCGTCCGCGTTGCTCGGATTACGCGCACGGTGATGTAGCAAAGATAAAAACATGTGACGTCACGTCACCACTTCGAATCTATTTTGTTTGCAAACAGTCGGCGTTTGCGCCAGTTTCCTCACCTCTTTCTTGTGGGTTTTAAGCAAACGCGCAGTGAAATGGGAGCAACTAGAGTTTATTTTGTCATAAGGTAGTGTGATTATGCATGACACGAAGTATTTGCTAGTCTAGTACTGGAGAAATTAGCGTTTGGATGCGCATTGTGCGGCTTTAATCGAGTGTACATAATCAACTACTTTTACTTTTTACTTTTATGAAAATTCCCAAAAATTCATTTATGATATTACATAACAGATAAAGATGTGTAATTTTAACCTCGGCATATTTTCAGAGGCAGTTATCACCCCAAAATCATTTCATCCACCACCACCTATCTAGCTTATTGAAACAGCAATCGAGTGGAAAAGCATTGGCGTAAAGTGAGCTCCACAAGTCTTTGCACTTCCTTCCTGGCCATATATACTCGACGTGATGGAAGAAAGTTGATATTTTCCCACCCATGTAAGTCATACATAGAAAACTAAAACGCTTCCAATACAAAACTGCTAGATGAGCGCCTGCTCCCCCTGCCTCGTTGTCGAATCCTTCAGCACACAGCACGATTCGCAGTCGACGCAACCAATATGGCGACGGTCGCACTTCGCATTTCGACACGGAGGTAAAAAAAAGTGAGACGAGAAAAAATATCAAAGCCAGATCGCAGAATGTAAATGGGAAGCTTTTAAGATTTCCTTAGTCAAACTCAATATCTCTGCTTAGAAGTTAGAGCACTTCCGTCGCAGGAGCCGTCTGAGAGCGACAGGTCGCCTACGGGTGAAGGCCCCCCCCCCCCGCCAAAAACACACACGCACGAGCCGCATGTAGACACTCGCATGACCATGGAGTGCACCAGCACTGCAGGAAGCACTGACGGCCGACATCCGAGTACAACAACGATCCCGGCTAATTCCCTCTTCATATCCTCGCTATCTCTCGTGCCTTCTCCCCACCACCATCCCCACCGCAGTGTCCGAGACCGCCCCTGTTACACAAGCGCCACGATAATTACTGTTTCCTAAGAAATAGTAATTGAATTTAAGCTCAACAATTTCCTATTTGGTTTGCGCTTGTCGTACGTCCCAGAAGAAATGTACAGTCCAGCGTCAGCTTGAACTAGAATTATGTTCGGGCAATTATTGCGTGAAATGTGTTTACTTCTTAGGCAGGTGTGAAAAACCCATGCATGTCACGTACATCCCCGCCCCCTTAAACTCACACGAAACAATCTAAGCCAATACGCTCCCACCACACACATCTCCACCCCAATTTACCATCCTACCACCCATAACTCCTTCCCAACCCACACCATCATCACAGACCACTTCACCCCATCCTACTTCCTACCACTCCAGCCTACTTCATCATATATATATATCAAGGCAGTATGAAAAATATTTCCAGATAAATGTCAACAGCTATTATAACATTTTCTGTCCGACATTAACTGTATGTGTGTGTGTGCGCGTGCGTGCGTGCGTGCGTGCGTGCGTGCGTGAGTGCATGCATGATGATGAACAGAACACACGGGTGAGGTTAGACCTCAGGCAACAGCACTTACTCGCATATGAAGGTTCCTTTCGAGACGTTCTGTAGCGGTCGCACTCCCCAGCCTTTCCCGGGTGTCCGGAACAACTGCAGGCGCACCCTGGTGAGAGATACACATGTCCATCTGTTACTGATTACAAATCATAGACGGCAGTCATTATTGCTTCTACGAAGGTACCCCAGTGAGAACCAGTGACAACATACAGCTGCATAGCAGACTAAGCTAAGTGATTACCTGGTCGGAATCTACGACCTTATGCAACGGCATTCGAGATGCTGCCATTTTGATTGCATCCTGTGGCATCCACCTAATTAGGTTTTTCTTCTACAAGGGCAAAGAGCACAGTGAAGCACCTTGCCATCTGGCTGGCTGGCAGGGCTGAAGATCAAAGTAAGAAACAGGAAAAAGAGGAAAAACTAGAGGAGTAGACCAGAGGAAGGGAAACTAGGAGGTAAAAAATCAGAGGTAGCAAGCTTGCTTTTACACAATTCAACAGTCCCTGTCTACATCTACCTTTTAGTGTAGACTGGCAGAAGAGCGTGTCATTGTTTGAACAGACATATACCGCAAACGCAAATAATCATGCATCCATTACTCCTTAACAAGTCGTATATTAATGTGATCTTTGAGTGTTCGAGAGCTAAAGAACAGCAGGGGATTAAAGCAATATGTAACTTTCAGCTTAAATACGCCAGCTGTGAACATAGTGTGGTTTGTTTTGTATATTGACATTGACTACTACGCCCTGGCCACATATGGCTAACAACGCTGCGTGCTCATTTGAGGATGATATCAGCTTCTTCGAGACCTCATGAACTTACACAATATTAGGCAACAAACGGTGAGATAGACGAACCCACTACTCAGCACAGCCAGCAATCACTCAATGCTAAACATGCATTCGGGTATTCTGACAGGAAAGTTAATCCGCAGTAACAATCAGAAACTAAGAGCATATATATATATATGTATATATATATATAACTGCTGAATATGGGTCCCGAGATCAACCGCAGATTCACAAAACTCGCCATCCGTCTGTGAGCGTACTCTGGCTGGCAGCTGAACAAATGAAAGCTGAGCTGAGAAGCTTTAGCAGGGACGATGTAAAACTTGATCAATGTGCAGCGACCTACGATTCTGATGGAGAGAAGATTTTTAAGCCGTGTACACTGGTGTAGTGACCTCGTGCACTGAATGCAAATGCTGCCGAGACATGGCAGTGGCACCGTTTTAATGAAACCGTGAACAAGGGAAGCCGCGGTGAAATTAAACTCGCAGATAATGGACATGCAAGGCACACAGACACACTGCTGTCTCAGATGCAATCGCTCCTGCCTGTATTAGGCAGTTTGCACCGATTAGTTTTCCACTCCATGCCGAGCTACCGCTACATTCGTTACACCGATGCGGCATGAAAACAGAGCTTCACCTCACACTACTTTGCTCACTCTACTTAAATCAGATTGAAGCAAAACTACTGATACATATGCTAAATGTTCTACTACATATAGCCGAGCTGCTACATCTGCTAGATCTGCTATATCATAACATATGTTAAGGATTCCATCTCGTAATAACGTATACTGAGTACATCATATACCATGCAGTACTATGCACCAGTAGCCAGCTACGAGAAGAGAAGCTAATTGGTCACGTGAGCAGATATACACGGGATGGCAGTCCACACCTGAGTCTAGGTGTGAAATTGAGGCTTGAGCTGTTAGCATGTTTGGACGTGTCTTATAGGAATAAAGAGAAAATCGTTGTAAAGACATTCAGTAGTTTTCTTGTGTTAGTATATTGAACAATATATTCCACTTGAACAGCGTCTTTTCGACAGGTGCACGAGGCCACACTCACAAGCCACAGCAACAGTACTTACTTTATCCCATCCTGCACAATTCGATTGCTGCACTTGCGCCAGCACCGGCAGGCCTTGTTGCACTCAAACAGTATTGGCGGATCGTGCATGTTGAAATCTTCAACCAGCTTGCCTTGCTGGAGAAAAAATTAGCCAGTTATTCATCATTATAACAACGACAGATACTATGAACAGCTGACGCTGGTTGCATCTTCTTTCCTGTAAATAACACTACAAACCACTATGCAGGTACTTCTGCACACAATTTATGCAAAGTGACACCATTCTATGCACACAATTTTCACTAAACAAAACATAAAGCTCAAAGTACATCCATTAAATACACCACAAATCACTGCACTGAACCGGAGTCATACAAAGCTAACGTTACCCACGTTCTTTGCAATCACGCGAAATTGTTCTCACGTCAAAGCGGCATTTCATAACGCTAAACAATGACGACACTGGCATGCCTTCACTCACCGCATCATACCACAGCCTGACACTGTTTATTGTGCATGTGCAGCTGGTGGACCCACAGTTGTCGCGACACTGACAGTGCTGTAAAGTAAAAAGCACAGAATCGACGTTGGTACTTCGAATGTGATATTTCATTGCTAGATCTGCTCAACATTTCTAACAAGGAACTATACAGCTAGACAATAATATATAACTAATTTTAATACGTTACTAGCCCATATGCAAACTCGCAAGTTAACTCATTGTAATTTCCGCAGATTTTAAATTCAGTGGTTCTTCAGTTATCTGAATCTCTTTTCATTATTTCTGCTATGAATAGAGCATTGTATAGCAGCAAAGAAAGTACAATGCCTTAATTCTAGATTGTTCTAAGATTAATCTAGATTAATCTAGATTATTTTATCATACTTGGTAGAAAATTACATCATAGTACAGTAAGAAAATGCATGGAATTTTATTATCACGATATTATAATTGAACTTTTAAACGGCTTATATAGAAACCTGCATCCACAACTCCACTTAATCTCTAGCAGTACAAAACGAGTGTGATGCATGACAGTCACATTTACTACACCCATCAGTTCTGTGGGAGACACAAAGGTGCTGCTCAACCCAAGCCAATGGACGATTCAGACAAAAATAGTTGCACAACATCGACGATTGACACCGTCTATAGGTGGAATGGGAACGCAATGATCAAGTAAATGATCACACAGTGACATTTAAATTAAAGGCCTGCATTAAAGGTGCTCTGAATTCTAGCTGCAGTTTTCTACCATCCTAGGTTGAAATCACTGCTCTCGACAGGTGGAGTTGAACTGGGCGAGGCAGCCGCACGGGCATGCACACCGACAAAGTAGACTGAGCAACCTACCTGCAGACTCGAGATCAGTCTGTTGATGGACACGAGCTGGCTGGTCTCCACGTTTTCTGTCACGTACTGGTAGTCCTCTGGTATACCCTCATCGTCATGCCAGTTCAAGCATACGATTGGCACGTTCTCTCTCCCCAGAGAGACATCCCTGCATCACAAAAGGCACGTGTCACAATAAACATCACACTGGGAACCCGCATATGTCAGGAATCAGATACGAATTAAATTAATTAGTAAATGCACATGGCAGTTGGCTGCTTGCTTTCATGATTGAGCCCACAGGAGCTTAAAAGCGACAAGAAGATTGCCGGGGCATTGAGATGGTAATTACGTATGTTGGTAGATTAGATCACGTTTTGGTTCACATGTTGAGGGGAGATAAGTTTCTCATGTTGAGAGTAGAAAACTCCACTATTTTTCAAGCTAGCACCTTTCACGGTTTAGCCAGCGTTTCACTGTTCATACACTGACATGTCAGTCTGAGACTGAGATTATGTGAGACAGAACTACTTCTAGCAGTCGAACATGGGTTTTCAAGCATCCCTGGCTACAAGAGAGTTTGTCAACCAACCTGTGCAGGACTTTTTCTGTAGGATGGGCTTGCTGTAGAGTTGTCTTGGACAATTCCAAATTCACCCTCAATGCCATCCACACCTTTGAAGCTGGATCAGGGCAGCACTAGATGAAGCACACAGCCAAAGGTGACACAAGATAAGCACCACGTCTATATTTATCACATCCCGGCATAAACATCACGTTGCCTCGAACTCATTGTTAACATTGAACAAGATTCTGACTATTGACAGCGACTTGTTATAATCAGACAGATTGACATCCTATACACAACACATCATGAGATGATGTGGAAACGTGATACAATGGCAGTCTATTCACTCATGGATATGGCTTCTTTGTCCTGCTTGTTTTTCGCGAGCATGCTAGCTCCTGGTGAGCACCCACATCTATGTATTACATCACGACATCCACATCGTTTTGCTTTTAACACATTATTAACATTGAACAACTGAACAAGATCCTGACTATTGACAGTGGCTTGTTATAATCAGGTAGATTGACATCCTTTACACAACACATCACAAGATGATGTGGAAACGTGATACCATGCCAAACTAATCACTCACGGATATCGGTTCTTCACCCTGGTTGTTTTTCTCATGCACACTGGCACCTCTTGAGAGCAGCAGCACAACTATGTCATAGTGGTCCTGACGGGACGCAATGTGGCTGAAACGATACGTATATCACGATAAAACTCGTTCAACATAAAACATCATTACAGACTCACTACCAAAGTAAAATGATAACACATTAACATCAGTCTGATAAATGCACTGGCACCAAACCCGCAAGACCCTATAAAAATCTGCCATGTTCACCCACACGCACATACATATGCACACGCGCACACGCACAGGCGCACACCCGCACACATTCATGCACGCACACACTTGCACATGCACACAGGCACACCCCATCTGTATATGAATTTGAATGTGACTTGCACGCGCATCCTATGACATACAGTGGTGTGTCTCCATGTTCGTTCTTCCCATTGATATCACAGCCCTGCGAAAGGTAGATCTCAGCAATTTCGGCACAACCAGAAAAGGATGACCAGTGGAGTGCAGTGTTCTCTTCCTGAAAATGCCAACACACATTTCACCATTGGAAATCAACACTGCCAGATGCCACCAAACATCCTCACACCGTTAGGTGCACTCACACAGGCCTCGAACTTCATCAGTTTTATGGCAAGGCCACTTTGGCCCTGACTCTCAACATTTTTGTGGGCATCAAGGCCACTTAGAGGGGCACCAAGGCCAAAATGAATTATATGAAAGGCAATCCAAGGCCACGGTTCACCAAAAATAATTTCCCCATCACCTACCTAAACCACTGTTGCTGGATTGGATTGGTGTATTTAAAACAAGATGTATGTTGATTTGATTTAATTAAATCATCTCTTAAAAAAGTCACGGCGACTAGTGGCCGTAAACAATATGGTTTCTTGAGGGGCTTCACGGCCAGTGAGTGGGGCATCACGGCAAATGGCCGCAGAGCCGCCCTATAATTCGAGAACTGGTGATACCATCAGACAGCAAAATCAACAGGATTCGCCATACATAGGGCACCATAACACTAACAGACATGGACACATACCAGACACTAATACTGTCATGTATAGACGATACACAACTTGAGAAATTGGAAAAAGTCATGTGCCGATGATGTGCAGAGAGATCAACGGCAAAGTGATGAAAAAAAGAAAAATGAAGCGATGAAAAGAAGAAAAATGATGACAAACCAATACTAATACGTTACTTATAAATCACAGTAGTGACAAGCGACAAGCACATTTGACTGATCACCAAATTCTAATGGTGACCATTCCCCGTTGAAACACCGCAGTCGCAGAACCACGCAACTAATCGTAACAAAACTCGTGCTGCTTACGACATCGATGAGCGCCGCGTTGCCGCCACGGCTCGTAAGGTAGCGAACGACTTCCAGGTGCTTGTACTCTGTTGCCCAGATGAGCGCCGTCCAGCCGCCTTCATCCTGTAGGTTGACATTCAGCTTACCGCTCTCTATCAGGTATACAACAGCCTCGAGGTTACCTGCCTTCGCTGCGAGATGCAGGCACGTCATGCTATCCTCTCCCTGTTGGTAGATAGCCTAGATTACATTCAAGTCGAATTGTAAGAGTAACATTGCGTGGCTAACACCACCTCGCGCGCACATGAGGACCTGTCACACATGAGCGTGTAGTATCTGGATCAACAAATGCCTGGTGTCTCACCCTTGTGTCAGTGAAAGCGCCGGCCATCAGAAGGTATTTCATAACTTTGACACGATTGTTGTCCGCTGCATCCATTAACGGGGTTCTTAACCGATCATCAATAACGTTGACGCACGCACCCGCCTGCAACAGGAGAACAGCTATAACACATTCACCGACCTTTACAGTCTGAATTTGCTGAACATTTTTTGTTTTCAGTCGAGTTACTTTTAAAAACCACTTGTGCCTACTAAAATCTCATTTGTAGATTGTTTTATATAATAATTACTAGCGTGGAATGGACTGTCTCGTCCCAGCAAAAGGTATGCAATCGTTAACGTTTGCTACTGGGATCTATTCGAGAGGCAACAAAGTCATTTCGCAATGAGAAATGTGACAAACCTGAATGAGCAGATGTGTGATAACAACATTGCCCTTCTCTGCAGCCACATGTAGGGCCGTTCCATTGCTAGCCTCTTCATAGCGTGTGGTTGGATCCATTCCCAAGCCTACATGTAAATGCACCATGAGAGCAACACCAAATCAGCACAGATAATCAATCAATAAATAAAACTAAGGAGAATGGCAGGTGACAGTTTTTCATGATTCCAGTGTGCCTATTCCGATTAGGTATCAAGTAGGCTCACTCAGGAAACGTTGGGTGTGGATTTTTGATGATAGGTTTAATTACTTTTTCCCCAAGTAAAACGTTAATTATTCCATTTCGGATTGCAGAAATCCCAACCTCACTTGCCAACATGCATGCAAGAACTGCTACTAGTGACAATTTATATCATCCATGAAAAAGTTCTTACCTAACAAGATCAACACTTTTTCTACGTCGCCAGCCCTAGCTGCAGAGTACAAACTTTTATTCTTTATTTGTCGCATGCTATCTTCTTCCCAGGTGCTCAATATTGTTTCCAGCTCCTTTCTGTCAGGACCCAAAGGCAGAGTAGCTGCAGAAAGTATTGGTCACAGTTGAGAGTTACGAGAGACTGTAATAGTCTATGGAGAACTCAGTCCAACACCTCAAAACTGAATATCACATAGTAAACTCACACTAATCAGCCCTTCACTATAAATCACCCCTTTCCAACTATGACTGTTTTAAGCACCAGAAAACAAGCAGTTCCTGTTAGGAAGAGAATTGCATGCATTCTCACACAAGAATTAAACATAGTAGCCTCAAATTAATAACCACATCTGTCATTAAACCATAGCACCAACTCAATAGTAGCATACAAGTTTAAGGCAACATGCATTCATATGTGCTTCTGACATGATTGTGTGCCAGTATCCTGCAATAAAACAAGTTCACATGTCACGATCAAACAAAACAGTATAAGGTCGCACACTATGAAGGGGCATTGTTAATATTTTGGTCTGCCATGCAAACGTGGGTTCAGTGCAATACTTGTGCCCCAGTTAAACTGCTAAACGTGTGCGTACCAGCAGAGAACGTCTTTCCAGATTCGGAGAAGACTACTGAATATCTCGAGTCAGAGGAAATCTCTGATGATAACTTCTCTGTTGGGAATGTCATCTGAGCATGAGGTCTGCAAGAACAAAGAGTCAAGGACTGAAAAAGCACCAGCCTGCACATAGTCCGAGCTATACACCGCACATTCAGACGAGATAACATGCATTGATAATACTGCCATTCAAGTGCTCATTTCTTAAATGTGCCTATCATTGGACACTGCTTATTATATAATTCGGCACCTACATGTAACATGGTAGTAAATAAAGTATAATTAGTGGAATATTACTCCCAACAGATGCACTCGATGGTTTGTGAATCATCCAAGTATTTACTATGATAGTGATGTGAATGCACTACACATCATGACGTAGGCTTCCTCTGCTATCCAGTCTAATTGCACGACACTGACAAGATGACGCATTCGGACATACAGCTTCTCCTACAGTGACCCACGCCGCACATGAGGTGACACTCACTATCTACGACATGCGCAACGAACAGTGACTACGCACCCGCTCTTTCGTTGCTGCTCCAAGAAGGAGGGCAGTTGCGACGATCGTATTTTCAGCTTTATTGCAACTCCTTCGGAGAAAGAGCCACAGTGCGGACACAGCGGCACTCCATCGCTGTTGTACAACGTACAGTCCTTGTGGAACATGTGTGACAGCTCATCACAGCACTTGATGAAATCTCCCTGTCATACATACATGACTGCATAAATATCACTAATAATAATCACATTCACATGTTCACGCCTTACACAAAGATATCAGTAAGGACACAAATCAACCAATAATAAAGTTATTAATTAAAATCGTTAAAGTTGTCAGGCAAAACCTAACACACAGATTCAACTTAATAAATGCTGTTACTAATCAATTTACACATACAGTAAAACTCGCATAAGACACCATCGTCTAACTCGTCAATTCGCTGAAGTCGTCATGGAGTTCAAAGTCCCGATTTTCTCTAATAAAAAATCCATTTGAATAGTCCCGCCAAAGTCATCATTTACAACCCGTGATTATGTACAAGTCGTCGCCCTCAGACAGGTCCCATGTAATACAAACAACAGTAAAATCCTATCTGTATGTCGTCATCAGAAATGCCGATGGCGCAGTGTATGCAGCCCAATGTACAGCAAATTTCTGGTAAAATGATGACTCATTGTTTCGCGGACACACATGCAGGCTAGTCTCGCTCAATCCAGTCGTAGCGCGTAGAGCAGTATTTAAGGGTGGGGGACACTTCCTCTAATTATTTACTGAACATTTTTGTGTTTTATGGCATCAGGATCAAGTAATTTTGAGATAATACCTTAGTGCACATGTACTAGTTCATGTAGATATGAAGCCTGGAGAAATATCAGCTTGACACTCTCCAAGTTGTCGAACTGCCGGCTTTGTAAGTCGTCAAAATGACGATATACATGCATGCAACAGTCGTCATTTTGGCGACTTACACATAAGTCGACAAAATGATGACTTACGCATATATCGTAATTTTCGCAAGTCGGCACAAAAATGCTGGCCCCAAAAGTGCCGACTTATGCCAGTTTTACTGTATATACTGTTGAGCAATTAAAATGCCAAAAACTACAGTCATGTGAAAACCCTTCTGTATTCCTTCTGTATGCATTATAGAGGGGGCTGCCATAGCGGCATACCTGCGTGCAATACAGTCCACACATTGGACAGCACTGGTGGCGCCGTAGTCTGGTCCGGTGCACCTCGCAAACAGCAAAGAAGCTGATCCTGGGTGATGGACGCACGAGCTGGTGGTTCACCACATTCTTGCAGCATCCAATCACCTGTAAACAATGCAACTGCAATTTTGTGGTTGGGTTCTGGAAAAATCAGTATGCATTATCGATATCACATTATGTGGGAGTGCATTACATTAGCCATGAAATCTATGTGTACAAGAGTAACTATCACCAATATATGGCCATCTGATTTGGCTAACTTCTGACTGCTCTCTGTCATTTCTTTTATAGATACATGACATTGATGAATTGTGATGCAGAAAAAATGCACAAATAGTTTCAAATGAACACTTTCATAGTTAAAACTTAAAACATCTACTTAAAAATCTAAGAAAAAAAGAACAATTGCCAATCCTGAGATCATTAACATATATATATCTAACAAATAAATCAGGATGTTTGTAAATTCTCTTTAAATATGTGCAAAACCTACTTTGTCATCTATGGTGTTCAAAGCTTGACACTTGGTGGCTTTTGTCTTTGCAAGTGACCCGACTTTCACACGACAGTGACAGAGTGGTGGCAGCACATTATCCACGTGCAAGAATGTCTATATATGAATGAAATGAGAAAACAGTCAATATCTGGAACATAACTACGCATGATAAATTAAGGGCCTGTCCAATTTTCATTTTCATATAAAATCATTTACAAAAAACACAGTCACAAGTTAGCTCATAAACGTTTAAGGATTTAATTGAGTTCAAATCATTATATATATATATATATATATATATATATATATATATATAGGATAAACCAGTCAACTGAGTATAAGTGTATCACCAGCAATTTAGGCTGTGGCATGGGCGAGGTTACGTTCGCCCCACACATTACCTGCAGCTTGTCTGTGACATCTTTACTCAGCCCATTTCTTGGCACCAGGCCAAGGTCCTCTAACCTCAGCTTCTTACTGTCACTCTCTGATGTGCTACTGGCACCACTAAGGCTCTCTTCCCCATCACCTGCCAACAAAGGCCCCACAAGATATGTGTGAGGTAATTTCAGATAATTATTGAGGATGCCTGTGCCATACTAAGCATAGAGTGGTGGCAGCTCTCCTGCTAGGTACACTATGGACGTCTGTAGTATAACACACTACAGCACTATTTAAACTCATTGAGCTATACCTTGTACAGTGTGCCTGAAGTAACCTGCCATACCAGACGTGAGATCCTCATCTAATCCTAGGTATTACATTAAAAATGCATTCACTCTGCATCATGCAATGAACTCACAGAACAAACAATGTTACCGACGAGTGATCACCCTGCTTTAGAATTCAATTGCAAGATTTTTCGTTTACGTTGATGGAGCAAAGACGATGGTTCCATCACTGCATAGCTAATTAAACAATTAACTCACTATTAAACTATGAACTCACCATTAGATTGCCTTTTATGATCACCACGCGGGCTGGATGACTCACTTCCGTCCACACTCTTCTCATCCTCAGCTATGAACGATCATTACAATGCTTTATAATTCAGCAAGCAGGGGCTAGGGACTGGGCTATGAGCCTGGGAGCATAGTCAGAAAAAATGTTCATTCTAAAACCATTCCTCATCTTGAATCTTTATCCTAAATCACTGTCAGAAAAATCATAACTTTGGACAATATTTCATCTTACTAATTTATTTCGTTAGGTCATAAGCCTATCATATTCTCTTTCAACATAGTTCCAGCTGTTTTATTAATGTCAGGAAACAAAGGCCTCCTAGAAACCAAGACTTGACTATGATGCTAGTGAGTAACCCCTATGCTATGTGTCAGAGATTATCACCTATAAATATATAATATTTATCTTTGATAAAAATAGGGTCATCCTCTACTTAACATCAACTGTTTGAACTTCAAATGCAAGTTGTAGCCTGTACAGCAAAACTACACTTATTAAAAATTTATACCTTTGTCAGATATATTTGGAATTTCGTTTCTTTCATTAGTACTGAGTGATGGTGACTTAGTTTTGTCAGTCTCCTGCTGGAAAGTGTCAATATAATCATCTTGGTTTGCTTCCTCCTATAACAAAGATGATTTTTAAGGACAACAATTAAGATAACACTTGGGATGGCAATTAAAGGCACAATAGTTTAATTGAAAGATCACTTATCGCCAATAAATAGTAATTGGAACTGTCAGGCACTTCATAAGCCCCATATTTGCAGGAATGAGTTATTGTGTGCTCCAGGGGTAGAAATTAACTTTTGAACAAGGGAGTCCAACAGACTCCCTACACTCAAAAAGAGGGAGTCCGCAGCAAAATGAGAGAGTCTGCAGTCTGAGGTTCAAAATTAAAGATATTAACAATAACGCAAGTGCTTATTTTTAAGATTCATGCAGTTGCACATCTGCCAAATTTTCTTTGGACATTAGCTGAACAAATACAGTAATTCCGCAAGGCCGTGCTCCGGAACGGACTAGTTAGTACGGCAGAATTTTCAGGGAGTCACACGGACTCCTGCATATGTCAAATCAGGGAGTCCCACACTAAATCAGGGAGTATTTGACTCCGGACTCCCGTTAATTTCGCACCCTGGTGCACATATGAAACTGTCCCTACCTTCAATGTGCCAGGTGACTTTAGAAATGGAACTGTTTCTGTAACCTCTTTCTGCTTACATCCGAGCTCCTGCTCTTCCTTGGGTGAAGCTTCTACTACTTCTGTATTTATGTGAACTAGCTCTTCAAACTCGCCCCTATCTTCAGGAAGCCCCGCAACCTCTCCCTCCTCACTGGTACGCCCGGCAGCATCTCCACTGTTATGCGTTACCCCAGCAACTTTTTCTTCCTTGCTGACCAACGATGTGATGTCACCTTGTTCGCACGCTGCGTCTGCTACCGCGTCGACGGCCTCGGAACACGAAGCATCAGTCTCAGTCTCTAGAGTCTCCCCCTGCTGCTGCTGGAGGCTGAGGCTGCGCAATCTCTTGTTGAGTCTGCGTTTCCGCTGCTGGTTCTGCAGGGAGTACACACCAAAGCGAATACGTTTGCGCTTGACCGGCTGAGCAGGGGCAGCGGCAGGCAACTGCAGCCGAGCAAAGAGCCGATCCATCGGAAACGACGAGGCAAAGCCCAGCAAGCCGACCGATCGAAAGTGCTCGAGGTCGAGCGACAGGTCGACGATGTTCTCGAGTTCAGCGCGCTGCGCTAGCGCCACCGCGCGCGCGTTCTCCGCGCCGTCACGCTCGACGACGCTCTGCTGCATGCGCATCTTCACCTCCTGCGCCGACTCCGTCTTCGACCGCAGGCCTGCGCTTGGAAAACTCTTGCGCGCCTTCTGCCTCTTGAGCGGCAACTCCGTCTGGATGTTCTCCTTCAGCGCGGTGAGGTGGTGCGCCCTCGCCGCGCCCTCGCTCGCGAGCAAACCTGCCTTCTCGGAGACGTCACGGTCGCAGGCCTCGCCGTCCGCCGCTGCGCTGCCATCGTGCTCGTCCTCGTGGCCAGCAGGCACGACAAACGACACCTCGTCGTCCTCGTACAGGAACGAACTCGTCGGTCGGCTCTTGCCGCCGCTCTCGCAATCTGTGGCGACATCACGCAGCATGTCGGCCATTGCGCGCGACACCTCGCCCTCTCGGCTCGACCGGCTCGCTCGTTCGTCGGCCGACGTTAGTCCCACTTCGTCCTCAGACAAACTTGACCTTGACCCGTCGTCAGGATTCACCAAATCTTGTGTGGCTCCCTTTGTCGTCATAGTCGCATCTTCCCCAACGGCCGAATCTGCACACAACATTAACTATGTGTATGACATGACAACGTAGAGAGGTAGGGTGGAAGAATTTTATCGATTCCAATTTTATGGGAGTGGCAATTACATTTGGGTTAAAAGAAAGGTGATTGCACACTAATTGTAAGCGACAGCAGAAGTCCAGGGCTGCCAACTCTCACGCATTGACCGTGAGACTCACGCATTTTGACCAAATCTCACGGTCTCACGCTGATCTAACAATATCTCACGCACAGCAAAAAAATGCTGAGATATCTCACGCATGAATATCTCTTCATGAATAAAACGCTGAAATATCTCACGCACAGCAAAAAAATCTTACAATATCTGAAAACAGTCACTTTAGTATGCACCAAATTGCACAAATTAAAGTTACAAAATGCAAAAGCTCCCTACCGTGGGAGGGGGGAAACCCCCTTCCCACACCCGGCCCCCTCGGTCGCTTCGCTCCCTCGCATCTCACTCTCACCTATCACCCAATGTTGGCAGCCCTGGAAGTCTACAATGACAATGTCACTTGATATAAATAGTGATATCAACACAACATGAAGCTTGTCATGTCAAATGAATTTTCACCATGTTTTGATTACACGATGGCCCCTACTTAATTACTGGGTAGTAAGTGGAATCACTTGCATTCCCTACACAAGCATTTTACCTCACCCTCACTCTAAATTGCAGCTAAGCTACGATAACAAGCGACATGTCAAAGTGATTAGATACGGTACTCGGTAGCACACTTACATATAGGCCTACAGTAGGCCCCCTAGTGCCAAAATGGCGGTAACGACTACGTTGCTACTGTAGGCCTAAACTGAACGTGAGGAGTGGAAACATTCAATATCGGGCATAGTTACAAACGAAACAATTATAAAGGGCACATGCGCCAGAACTTAGGAGCCATCCTTGCGCTTACAGTGGGAGTTGTGGCAAAGTACACACGGCAGCAAACACAATAATAATAATTAATATTAATATAATAATATACGACCCGAGCAGTCGCATTATATTGCGCATTATATTCATTACCGGTACTGTAGATAGGGACATAGTCACATACATGTATAGTAAAAGTATTTTCAGTCTCAGCTCAAATCTAGCAGTAGACACTCACAGGTTAATATTCTCACCTTAGACACTTAGAGTAGTGTACTCACTCGGCGTAAGTGTTTGCCCATTCGATGAAGATCCAGGCATTCTACTCCTTTGGCTTTGAAATGCAGGAAGATGTCCTGCTTCTGGCTCTGCCTCTCTCACAACCAGCGTACCTCTATGTGCGTGCCATTGTATATATTTTTCTAACTTCTGGTCGAGAGATGGCGCTAAAGATGAATAGACTTGAAATATCTCTTTATTAACTGTATATGTCCCATGTGTTAGGGGACATGTTGCCATCTATGTTACTGAAGCAAGGCAGGAACTGCCGTTAGGCGTGAAACTCGGGAAGTTTGTATCGGTAGAACTCGGGAAGTACTCGGTAGTAGCAGAGGAGTAAACCCCATATGTGCGTCTCTGGTGTAAACTGTGCTGTTGCTGTGCTAATACTGTGCTAAAAGTAAATGCTGTTGCTTTGTATGCGAGGCAACACCGCAAAACAACGCAGGGAGGTGTGCTCTTAGATGTCGTCGTCAGCGGCAGTGGAACAGATACAAGGGCTAATAGTAATACACTACACTAAACGTATATCATTATATGATTACTATGTTTCTCAAAAGTTTGCTCTTCTAGTTCTAGAAACTCGGCCACTGACCGCCCAACTCTGCCCTCTAACCGTAACCTTTGTCCAACCTTAGTTTTTTTGTTTTTTTAGATTTATTTATTTCGATAATTACTAAAGCATACATTATTACATCGATAACAGCATAAATAAATAAAATGCAGCTAGAAAATTATCGAGGATGGTTGGACCACAATGGAAATAAGTGTGTTAGCCACGCTTTTTGTGTTTTATAACATTGAGAGAGAGAGAGAGAGAGAAAGAGAAAGAGAAAAAGAGAGAGAGAGAGAAAGAGAGAGAGAGAGAGAGAGAGAGAGAGAGAGAGAGAGAGAGAGAGAGAGAGAGAGAGAGAGAGAGAAACTTTTATATATATAGATTATTTTCCTAGTACTGCCGGAACGTACCCTGGTACTATCTAATATGCCTGACCGTACCTCGCCTACTCCACTAACGAGTCTAGGGAGTCGCCTACGCCTACTCCCTAACCCTAACCATATCAAATAGTTACCAGAGTACGTTCCGCCATGCGCGCAATTTCATTTTGAAATGTGGGTGTACACTAGTAGCGAGCATGCGAAGGGGGTCTGGAAAAAAAAACATGTTAAAAAAGAAATGGTACTAAATTTATCAAGACACATTTTTCCTAAGTTGTGCATGATCATTATTATGCTCTCAAATGCACTTGAATGAAATGAAAGCTGGCAAAAAAAAATAGAAAGAAGCCAATTGTTGACGCACTATCACTAGCTCTAGTACTATAGCCCGCTTACATTAACTTCCGCTGGGCTATAGAACGAGCCATTAGGGATGCGCGGGACCAACTTAAGCACGCTTATACCCGCCTATAAAACGTCTGTGGTAGGCAATTAATGCCTCTCTTATCCGAAGTGAATATGTCTTAAGTTATATCAGCTACTAAAACTTAACCTCTAACTATCGTTGCAATAGTATACTTGCGGTTTTCTTGTAAACCAAACATTCGATTTTGCGAACTTCCCACACATTCTGCTGGCGCGCTGCAGCAGCGCCAGTCAGCGGGAACTATGTATTTCCCGCACGTGAGGGTGGGCAGGCTGGGTTGGTTGGAGACAAAAACATTGTTGTTGTCAAGTAACAAATTAAAGGAACAGTAGCCTCTAGGTTCTAGGGTTATTTTCAGCTAATTTGGTTATAATTGCGCTACATAAAAACTTTCATGGTTCAATCACCATTAGAAATATTTTTTTAAATGTTTAAAACTAAGAGACTACAGTTTGATTACAACGACGGTGGCGCCACTCAAACGCACGATCTGAGAAGTTGCGGGCAAATACCACTTTCCAGCCAAGGGCTACAGACCGAGGGTATTTCTTATTTTTTTCATTTAAAAGCAAAAGGATTGTAATATCTTAAAACGCAATATAGTTTCATGTATAATATGGATAATTTGCCCTAAAATGAATATCGTTCGCTTAAATAGCATTTAGTATAAATATAATTGCACTTTTGTGATTAGCCTCCGGCATTTACCTGCAAAATAAAATGCAAATACGCAACTTTTTCAGGGTGGCAGCACGGTCGCGGGTGTCATGGCGCCGCTTCAAATTTCGTAGCGTTGATCTGTAAATAATTATTAAGTATCTGGTGAACAATACACTGTGGTAGTAGACGATTTGTTATACGTTAAGTAAGTTGGTATGCAGTAAAAATCCTAGAGTACTGTCGCCATTTAATGTGATCAAAAAAGATTGTAATATTAGTTTTGTCATGAAGATGAACAAATTACTATTATTATTTGTTCTTTACAACAACAATGTTTTTTGTCCAAACCAACACAACCCGCCCAGGGTTCTCCCCAGGATGAAATGAAACAGGGGGGGAGGGGAGGGGGTGGAGGGGAAGGGAGGAAAAACTAGGGGTCCGGGGGGCGTGTTTTTACCGTACCACTAATTAATGCGTCAAAATCGCCACCACACCCATAGACGGTATTTGGTTTCTTGTATTATAAGATAGCCGAGTCGGTGTACAGTTAGTTGTGTTCGGGACAGGTTTGCTGTTTGTACTTGAGTGTCTGCAGGTGCATGCGTGGTATCGTTAAAAATAACGCGTGGTGGTCCTGGTCCAATTGGAATTCTTGACGATCGATTTCCGCGCTGTCAAACTTTATTGTGGTGGAATTTAATCGGCGGCGGAGTAATTTAAACGGGGCGCAACGATTGAAAAAGGGGGAGTTTTCCGAGAACGGGGGGGCGCGCGCCCGTTTGCGCAACGTAGGGAGAACCCTGCCGCCCACCCCTCCCACGTGCAAAATACATAGTTCCGCTGACATGGCTGGAGTATAGTTGGTCCCGAGCATTCGTAATGGCTGGTTCTACAGCCCAGCAGCAACTCGACTGCTCAGAAACAAATCTGTCTCTGTCTTTTGTATGAGCCCTGAAACGACATCGACTTTTTTGAGTTTCCGAGTTTTGGTTCTGATTTCTGAGTTTCCGAGTTTCCGAGTTTCCGGTTCCTGGTTCTAAGTTGCATCTGCGCATGCCTTTTCATATATTTTATTATATCCTATTTATTGTTGTTCTATTTATTAGTGTCTATTGTCTCTGCTTCAGCGCTTCAGCCCTAAACGACTACGACTTTGAGTTTCCGAGTTTTCGAATTTCCGAGTTTCTGGTTTCTGAGTTTCCGAGTTTCTGAGTTTCATCTACGCATGCTTTCTTCATATATTTATTGTATCCATATTTTAAGTAATGTCCATATTAGTGTTCTATTGTCCCTGCTGCAGGTGTTGTGTACGCGCAGAAGAAACTAGCAATCGGAACTCAGAAAGCTGGTGTCGTTTCAGGGCTTCCATAGTTTTGTATTGTATCACCTCAAGAAGCTTCTATTTTTCTTTTTTTCTCTTTTTAACTGCTCAACACTTACCTTAATCACTCTTACTTGTACATACTATGCTGAAGTTTTTTTGTTTTGTTTTTTGTATATTTTTTTTCTTTATGCTGTTTCAATGTTTTGTACTGTAACACTGTATCACTAAGAAATTTTGGGGATCGTGGGTATATATTTGCTATAGTTTATATTTAGTATGTACAATGTATAATATGTTGGACCACAATGGAAATAAGTGTGTTAGCCACGCTTTTGTGTTTCATCCTCCGATAATTTTCTAGCTGCATTTTTATTATTCTTATGCTGTTATCGATGTAATAATGTATGCTTTAGTAATTATCAAAATAATAAATCTAAAAAAACAACAAGGCCGCATACGACAAGCGCTCATTTAACGTCTACTGGGCGGTGACTCTGTGGTGGAGTGGAGGCATCTAGTAAACCCTGTTAGTCCCAAATGTGTTCACATACACGCCGAAACAGTGGAATGCACAGGATCTGGTATCAGAACCTTCTCAAAAGAATGTTCGTTGGGGATCGTTATGAAAGTTGCCACGAGATGGCGCGTACGTTTAAGTGTCTTCAGATTAAAGATGGAAGCTCCCATCTATTCGTAATAGCAACAACTATTTGCAAGAGCAGAAATCTAGGTAACACTCATCATTTACCTACGCAAGCCTCAGGCTGACAATTCATAGAGAGCTGCCAGCTGCACCAATTAATGCAGGCAAAAACTGCCCCAACACATCAAGCCACTGGCATTGGCATACGTTACATGTAACATACTGACAGTACAGAATGACATAAGAAATTAATCAGTTTAAGGAATATACATTCTTAACCAAATTTACGCTTTTGAATTTCACTGTACATTGTAGCCTCATACATCCAGGCATGTATAGATTCTACTAGCAAACCCGGCATTCAAATCTTTCTAACAGACAGTCAACAATCCAAGTTTAACCCTCCTCTTGAGGGTCAAGGTTAATCCCGACACTTACTCTTCGCACGTCAGCAGAAGGGACATTTCAGTCCTTCATACACCATAAAATGCTAAGTCACCGCTAAAACAAAAAATTTTCCATCGCTTCCGTCACACATGTCCTCAGAAAATGTCTAAAATACTGCCTCTGTGCCCACTGACCTTTGACCTGTGACCTCCAATTTCGGCACAGTGATGGCTTTTCCTACATGATGCTATACACCGACTATCACGAGCCAGGTCGAGCCGTTTAGTTTGTGCCGCATTTCTGCATTTCCTCCTATACCTTAAGTTAAGGAGGGAATGTTCCTCCCTTCTTTTACACCCCTTGACCTTTTGACCTTTGACCCCAGCTTCGACATCCCAACTCGTTTTGACGATCCCCCCCGACGTCCCGAATATCGTGACGTACGTCGAGCGGTTTAAGATTTGTGCCCAACTGTTGACGCCCGGACCACGGATCGATCGGACGGACGATCAAGCGATTCTACAAGCTGCTCTGACTATGTCAGATGAGCTAAAAACTAATTGGACAAAGGTTACGGTTAGAGGGCAGAGTTGGGCGGTCAGTGGCCGAGTTTCTAGACTAGAAGAAGCAAACTTTGAGAAACATAGTAACATATATGATTCGTTTAGTGTAGTGTATTACTTTAGCCCTTGTATCTGTTCCACTGCCGCTGGACGACGACATCTAAGAGCACATCTCCTGCGTTGTTTTGCCGGTGTTGCCTCGCATACAAAGCAAAGCATTTACTTTTAAGCCAGTATTCACAGCAACAGCACAGTTTACACCAGAGACGCACATATGGGGTTTACTCCTCTGCTACTACCGAGTACAATAAAACTTCCCGAGTTTCACGCCATAACGGCAGTTCCCTGCCTTGCTTCAGTACATAGATGGCAACATGTCCCCTAACACATGGACATTACAGTTAATATAAAGTATTTCAAGTCTATTCATCTTAGCGCCATCTTCGACCAGAAGTTAGAAAAATATATCCTATGGCACGCACATAGAGGTACGCGTCTGTGTTGAGAGAGGCCGAGCCAGAAGCAGGAACATCTCCTGCATTTCAAAGCCAAAGGAGTAGAATGCCTGGATCTTCATCGAATGGCAAACACTTACCGAGTGAGTACACTACTCTAAGTGTCTAAGGTGAGAATATTAACCGTGTAGTGTCTACTGCAAGATTTGAGCTGAGACTGAAAATACTTTACTATACAGTATCGTGACTATGTCCCTACTACAGTACCGTAATGAATATAATGCGCAATATAATGCGACTGCTCGGTCGTATATATTATATTAGAATATTAATTATTATTATTGTGTTTGCTGCCGGTGTGTACTTTGCCACAACTCCCACCTGTAAGCGCAAGGATGGCTCCTAAGTTCTGGCGCATGTGCCCTTTATAATTGTTTCGTTTGTAATATGCCCGATATTGAATGTTTCCACTCCTCACGTTCAGTTTAGGCCTACAGTAGCAACGTAGTCGTTACCGCCATTTTGGCACTAGGGGGCCTACTGTAGGCCTATATGTAAGTGTCATAACCGAGTACCGTATCTAATCACTTTGGACATGTCGCTTGTTATCGTAGCTTAACTGCAATTTAGATTGAGGGTGAGGTAAAATGCTTGTGTAGGGAATGCAAGTGTTCCACTTACTTACCAGTAATTAAGTAGGCGGCCATCGTGTAATCAAAATATGGTGAAATGTTCATTTGACATGACAAGCTTCATGTTGTGTGATTCACTATGTTATATCAAGTGACAGGTGACTGCTCGCTAGTCGACGGCCCATAGTCCGAAAACCCACTAGTCCGA